TATGATTACAAAGCCAATAGTGATGAGCCAAATGCTGAGTATATTTTCAACAATTTCAACTAATTGCCACGAATCTTATCGAAATTTACGTTTTCTTTTATTCTTTACCAATTTGTTTTGTAGCTTATTAAACCAGTGGTTCTTAATCGGTATTAACAATGGATTGTAATCAAGTCAGACAAAAGTTTATAGACTTTTTCATGAAAAAATATAATCATGAATTCGTTCCATCTTCATCAGTTATTCCCTTGGATGACCCAACTTTATTATTTGCTAATGCTGGTATGAATCAGGTAAGAACTTTATTAAGATCTTATTTTAAACTGGCTTTAAACTTGAACCATAATTCAAAGCTTTTCTTAACTTTAACATAACATATCTTTTTTGTTTCTATTCATCACATAGTATAAACCAATTTTTCTGGGAACTGTTGATCCTAATAGTGACCAAGCCAAATACAAAAGGACATGTAACTCGCAAAAGTGTATCCGTGCCGGTGGCAAGCACAATGATTTGGATGATGTTGGTAAAGATGTTTACCATCACACTTTCTTCGAGATGTTGGGTAACTGGTCTTTCGGAGATTATTTCAAGAAAGAAATCTGCAAATGGGCTTGGGAACTTTTAACCGAAGAGTATGGATTAGAGAAAGATAGACTTTATGTAACTTATTTTGGTGGAGCACCTCAACTAGGTTTAGATCCTGACGAAGAGTGTCGATCTATTTGGGTTGATGATGTTGGTGTTGATCCATCTAAAGTTATTCCTGGAAGTATGAAAGACAATTTTTGGGAAATGGGTGATACAGGTCCTTGTGGTCCATGTAGTGAAATTCATTTTGACAGGATTGGTGGTCGTAATGCATCAGATCTGGTCAACATGGACGATCCTGATGTGCTCGAGATTTGGAATCTAGTTTTTATTCAATACAATCGGGAACAAGATACTTCCCTTGAACCCTTGCCTAAACAGCATGTCGATACTGGTATGGGTTTCGAAAGAATTACTTCTGTAATTAAAAATAAACGTTCCAATTATGACACCGATATTTTTGTACCAATTTTCGAGGCTGTTTCCCAAATGGTTACTTTTTCCCTGAATTACGGATGGAGGAAGACTAGACAACGTTGGTCGTGGTTATGTACTCAGGAGTTTATTGCGTCGAGCTGTTCGTTATGGTACAGAAAAGCTTGGTGCTAAGCCAGGAATGTTTGCTTCTCTTGTACCAGTTGTCGTGGAAATTCTAGGTTACTTTTTCCCGGAGATGAAAAAAGATCCGCAAACCGTGATGGACATAATTAATGAAGAAGAGACACAATTTCTCAAAACATTGTCAAGAGGTCGACATTTGCTTGAGCGAACCATTGCAAAACTCGGTGACTCTAAAATCCTTCCTGGAGATATTGCATCAATCATCATTGGTAGTGCCCTTTTTACAATTATACTTGAGACCAAAGTTTTCAGTATTAATAAGTGCAACAATTCCTGATTTTAAAATCTTCAAATCTTCTCAACTCCACAAAAGCTAAGACTTACAGTTTTGGCTGTGGAATACTCAAGACTTTAAGTTTTGAATATTTTATCACATCTTCTGTCCTGATATAAATCATCGATATGGAAATTCAACCATGCAAAGATTGTTCTCGTTGTCTCTCGGAGGAGAAAATCCTGATAAAAAGAAAGTCCATCGATGGATAATTGATCTCGAGCCAAATTGATAAAATCAAACCTGAGCCTGGATTTATTCTTGTTAATGGTGAAACACAACCTCGTGATGTTTGTCAGCTATGCTGTCAAATTCCATATTTTTCAGTTAAATGCTCAGCGTGCAAGCTATTCTATTGCAAATTATGCTGCTATATCTTGGTAATGATATGAAATAATCTCAATGGTAGGCGAAATGAGATTCCAGTTGATAAAATCGTTAGCAAACAGTTCGATTGTTTAAATTTTGTGAGTTGCACATAGAAGACCCTGGTAGAAGATTTGATGTCTGAAGAAAAATCGCAGATTAAACAGAAAATTATCAAATGCAACAAGACAAATTGTTTCTTCAATGGTAAATACATGGAAACAATCCAGCACATCTAAGAGTGTAATGGTGCTATGTTTAAATTTGATCAGACATTCATTGGTGAAATTTTTAAACAAAATGGTCAAACCGTGGAAGCAAGACCTTATGAACCCGTGCTATCTACAACTCAACCTGAATTAGCTACAGCACAGTGGGTTAGCAGATTAGAAGTTACTCTGTAAGATTCAAATTCAGCAGAGTTTGACGAAATCAATGAACTTATGATTGCAAAAAGAAGTGGTGATCAACATCCAGATGAACCTTTGGAAAAAAGATCAACAACTCCGCAATCATCAATTGAAAATGATCCAAAGAATCTTTGGGATGCAGTTGATTCTGAACCAGTGTCACCGAGGCCTAAGGCTTCGGGACAAAGTGATGATCCTTGCGGATTAGATTCACCAACAAGAGTTGCTCGTGATATTGCACAAGCTGCTGCATTGGCTGCAAATTTCAAAGCTAATTATGGTTCAACAGCTAGAAATCGAGAGCGAAGACTGAGGCAGAAATTGAGAAACAAGGTATTGTAATGAAAAAAAAATCATAAAAGGTTGCCTGAAATTTTTGTCATATTCAATCTTCAAATAATTTTTTATGGTTTTGATTGAGTCGGCAAGATTGGTGCAGCAACAATGAAGCAACAGTTTTGCCTAGTTGTTATAAGTTTGCATTATTGCAAACAAGTAAGCGAGTTTCATTATTCAATCAGCGGCAATTCAAATTGTTGGGATTGAGGTAAATACAGGGAATTAGAATCGGATGAATACTGGAAAACGAACGAAAAGCTACTGAAAAACAAAAATAGCTTGGGCAACTGAGTTAAGCCCGCGACCAGTCATGATCGCTAATTTCTTGATGAAGATCAAGATTAATAAACATAAAGTTGATCATAATATTTTGCAACCTTTATTAATCAAACTGTCAGAAATGAGATGCTCGTCTTCCTCATTTTTTTGTCAATCGATTGACACCTCAATCATTAAATTTGAATTTGACTGGCTTGAGTCGGCTCGAGCTATTTACATTTAACTGGCTTCAAGTACACGAAGAAATAGCTGGCTGGCTGGCTTAATTTGGCAAGCTTCGGCATCTAATGTATTAATCTAATGTAGATGATTAAATTTCATGATAAACTGATTTACATAAGATGAATTGTAAATTGAAAATTCCTAATAAACTGAGGTTACCTTAGTAACTTAAAATAGAGAGAGAGAGAGAGAGAGAGAGGCAAAATAATAGAGAAATAGGAAGAAAAGGAAGAAGAGAGAAACAGTTGAAAAGGTATGGACGCCGCCCTTAGATCTGTCTA